GTTCCCAAACTGGGCTTCCCGGGCCCCTCGGCGAGGCCTCCCCGCCCCCTCCACCCCCGGCTCGCCCTCTCCATTTTACAGGCTGTAACCCGATAGGCTGGAAGTGCAGCTCTTTCATCTTCCATTTCCCACATCCTGAAAATCCCGGAGCAGGAGCCCACCCAGATACAGGAATTCCAAGTATGCGCGCCCCCTCCCCCTCTAACTCCATTCACAAAGCAGATTCCCGACGGCCCAGGTTCCAGGGAGGCCCCGCTCCCACCCCGAGCGCTTTGCCCTCGCCTTCCCCTCACCCCTCACCCCTCACTTGCACAAAGCCCACGTCCACATGCCCAGAGCCAAGGGGAACTGCTCCCGGACTCCGACCCTCAGGAATGCTTTCGGACGTCACTCCGGCTGGGACCGCGTCGGGTGGAAGATCCGCCTGTCGGTGCCTCTGCGCCCTCCTTAGCGTCTCTAGATAAGAGGGCTCAGGGGAAATGCGCCGGGGATCAGGGAGAAAGAGAGAATGTAACTTGTGATGTTTCAGAGACACCGGCTCGCGTTTTGGGAGAGATCACAGGCCCTTCCAGCCCACAGAGGGTTTCCTCTGCCAGAAATGTTTTGAAGCCAGAGAAAAAGATGCTCCTTTGAAGGTATAGGCAGAAAATGTGTGCGAGACTGTAGGTCCGTGGAGAGAGGCTCTGGTAACAAATTAACTCTGTTAATAAATTTCTTGAGTTAAATTATCCTATTATAGTTTCTCACTACCTGGAAATCAGCAATTACAAAAGGCGCCGGGTCGGTTCTCAAGTCACCCTGTCCTGAGTTCTGTCAGTGACCCGGAAACCAGAGGCAGGGACAGCTCTGACCCCAAGCTCAAAGGTTAGGGAACCTCCAAGCAACCCCTCTCATTACCGATGATAAACCACGTTATGCATCCTCAGGGAGGGTGTGAAAGCTGTTTCAATCTGTACCACCTCTGCGATAACCAGTCCCTGACTTTACTAGTCACTGTGTAAAACTGGATTTCCTGTATTAAGGGGTGCTCCCTAGTCCTGATATTAGGGAGTATATTTAATAGATTATTAACCCATATTGTTTTTGCAACTCAGGATAGTTAGCTAACTTGCTTAACTAGCATTGGACCAAAATATGCTAAAGTCTGGGCACATGTTCTTGCACTGGGTCAACAAGTCTCATGGAATTAATTCCAAGAAGAATTTAAGCAGCCTGAGCTGGAAGATGCAGTTATGGTGATAACAGACTGTGGCAAAATAGCCTCAGATCATTCCCACGGCGCGGAGGAGAAATCTGTACTGTAGCTCAGCTCCGCACTGACCCACCTTTGCAATCCTCATGGAGGTGCAGCCTGCTCCCCATATCCAACGGCAACAGGCTCCTCCATGGGCTCAGCATCTATAGACCACGGCCCCACAAAGTGTTGCCCATAATGCGTGCAACTTGGAGCAAGTATTACTCTCCCTGGGCTTCAGATGCCTTATCTGTAAAATACGAATCCTTGCTATTCGAAGTGTGATCCCCAAACTGGCGGAGAGGCTTCACCTGGACGCTAGCTAGAAATGCAGAATTTAAGACCCACCCAACCTCCTTCTTAGGAACAGGATCCCCAGATCGCTCCTGTGCACAATCCAATTTTAGATGTTCTGGCCTAGACTAGGGATCTCAAAGGTCCTCTTTGGAGTCCTGAAATTGGCTGATCTAGTTAAGTGGTTTCCAAGGAAGTTTTTCTTCTCTGATAACTGGTTTTCCTTCTTTCTTCCACCTCCAGTCTTGGCACATCCTGTCTCCCCTACCAAGGAACTCAAGTTTCAATAGGCATTGGCTTTGCATGAAGAACTTGTTTAAAATACAGATTCTGGAACCCAATCAAGAAATGCATTGGGCAGGATGGGGGTGGGCCAGAGCATCTGCATTTCAGCCAGCTTCCTCCCACTCTTCTACAAATCATGGTCTCCAGATTACATTTTTTTCCTTTAATTTTTATTATGGAAAATTTCAAACATATAAAAAATAAACAAAATAGGTCTGGTCGTGCGTGGCTCAGCAGTTGAGCATGGACCTATGATCCAGGAGGTCGCGGTTCGGTTCCCAGTCGGGGCACATGCCTGGGCTACGGGCTCGATCCTCAGTCGGGGGTGTGCAGGAGGCAGCCGATCAATGACGACTCTCTCATCATTGATGTTTCTCTCTCTCTCCCTCTCCCTTCCTCTCTCTGAAATCGATAAAGATATATTTTTAAAAATAAAATAAACAAAATAGTAATCATGAACTATGGTGTTTCAATACCCAGCTACAACAATTCAACCCAGGGACAGATTTGTTGCCCTTAGACTATATTTTTGAAAAACCTTCACATCTAGACCCTCCCAATCTTCTTGGTTCCCTTCCTCTAACAGCTTCTAATCCTTTCAGTCTCAGCGTGTCTTGAGGGCAAGATTTGTGTCCTATTGTCTTGGAACCCCCAGTACCAACACTGTGCCCGGCACATGAAGGCAGGCAGTAAAATAATACAATAGAACATTTTATGAGATTTTTTTCAAATATGTCTTTATTGATTTCAAAGAGAGAAAAAGAGAAGGGGAGGGAGATAGAAACATCAATGATGAGTCATTGATCAGCTGCCTCCTGCACGCCCCCAGCGGGGGATGGAGCCTGAAACCTGGGCATGTGCCCTGACCTGGAATCGAACCAAGATCTCCTGGATCATAGGTTGATGCTCAACCGCTGAGCTACCCGGTCGGGCTACCACAGTACATTTTAAAGAGCTTTAGGCTCTGGACTGGTGGCCCAGTTGGTTGAGGCATCACCCCGTACACCAAAAGGTTTTGGGTTCAATTCCAGGTCAGGACAAGTTCTCTCTCACATCGATGTTCCCCCCTCCCTCTCTAAAATCAACAAAAACATATCCTCGGGTGAGGATTTTTTAAAGAAAGAACTTTAGTCGTAAAACATAAATTATCATCTCCTTGGATGGTCTACACTGGAGGTAAACAGGATTATCTGATCTCTCATTTTTTCAATTCTTTGCCCTTGATTCCTTTTTCAGTTAAAGAACTTAAGGCATCAACATGCATCTTACCAAGTGAAAGAATTGGGGAAAATTTCCCCAAAGGCCGACTTTACATTCCTTTCCTTCTGGTCTTAACATTTTACAACAGATTTTATGTCTGAGGGCATGTGGTAAGAGAAGGCAGGAAAATACCTCCCTCCCGGGATGGGAAGATTATCGTCTCGTGGCCTTTGTTTCAGACTTCACCTAGTCATCGCTTGAAGCCGCGTGGTGCTCAGAGTGTCCTGTACGCGGCAAGGCCTTCCCACAGTGGCGAGAGGAAAGCGAGTGAGCAAAGTGGGCAGACGCCGGTGTCCCAAAGGCACAGTCGGGCCCTTTTCACCCACTTGCTAATTATAAAGGGGAAATCGGAGAATTTGGAAGAGTGTGCTAAATAACAGGAGGGAGAGCGAGGGAAGGCAGGACCAAACTGAGAAAAGAGCCCAGCAGTTCCAAAACTCGGCACCACCATCGAGGGAGAAAGTGGTAATTAGGCCTGATTACCATGCAAGGCAGCCCCGGTGAAACTGGAATGTAGCCGGAGAGACGAAAGGCTGCAGGGAGGGTTTGCTGTGCTGGAGACAGGCTTTGATGTCTGCAGGGAAGGTTGGGTTTCATTCAGCCATCCAACCAACCAAAAAAAAAAAATGTTGCAGGAGCAATATGAAACCTTCTAAAATACAGCAGACGGCAAGCTGAAGTGGGCAAGTGGCGGGGTCCGAGGGCTCCCGGTGAGGGTGTGCGTGTGCACGTGTGCATTTGTGTACTTCTAGGCCACTTTCCTCAGAGTCACCGCTCCAACCTCTTGGATCTGTCCGAAGACAGCGAAAGAGAGAAGCACACGCTCTACTACTGACACCGTCATTGGCTTGGGAGATCCTGATGACAGGGGGAGAGTATTTAAGTTTGGGGCAGTTTTTTTTACCCGCTGTGGGGAGAAAGCAAAGGAAATGGAGGTAAATTCCACAAAGTCCCTTCGAGGCCCGGAGCTGGGATCACAGACGCAGATGCGGTCATCTGAGGCTGCCAGCTACCGCAGCTTTTATACCTGCCGGTGGAGGCCAAAGAAAATGAGCCAAGAAAGTAGGTTAATCTCTCAGAGAAACACAAAATAGGTAGCAAGGAGCATTCTCGCGCCTTCCACACTCTCTAATTGCTTCAAGCCAGGAGCTGTAAAGCACAAGGAATTCCTTCCCTCTCTCAGCCTCTTAGGGCTATCCCAGCTCTAATAGATTGTTTCTGTTTCGGAGCTAATTGCTCAGCGAGGTGCATTCCCCAAACCTAGCCGCAACTTTCATTTCCATGCGAGGGACTTCCAGTACAACTTGGTTTCGGGAGACAATCAACTTTTAATTTAATTTAATTTCTTATTTTTTAACAATCAACTTTCTACTAAACCACTAACAGGAAAGTAACAGTCAGGTTTGTAGTAAAGTGTCACTGTGTTATTATTTTACTTATTCACTGGGTGTTCACCATAGAAAGTAGGATGTGTAATCTTGATTTTGCAATAAGAAATCCATGAAAATACAAAAATCTCACGTGGGAGACTAAATGCAATTTCTATTTCTTAGGAATTACCAAAATAGGCCCCACTCACCACTATGTATACGGCCCAGACTCATGGCTCAATGTTCCCTTTCGAAATGGATGAAGTAAGTTGTTGATCAACTTATCTTGAAGGAAATAAGAGAGCATTTATTACATATCCAACACATCACTTCTTGGGTTTATCTCAGCCTTCTCTTCTAAGCATTTGCAGTGGACCATCCACAGAATCAGCTATTGTTGCTGTGATTTCTTTCGTACCACTGTTTACACTTAAGACCTGTATAAAATAATAATGACATGTATTTACTGTAAAGCAAAGAGCCCCCGGAATAACTACAGATAC